TATTGTTAATTAGTATAAATCTACTAGCGTTCTATCATGAATGCTGTTCTCTGATTGGCTACACTACTCACTATCTATTCTGTGATAGATGGTGAGTAGTGTAGCAGTGCGCCCTTGTTAACAAAATGACAGCCGCTTCATGGCATTTTCTAAGTGTCTGTGAAGAGGATTTAGATAAAGTTTTGAACGACAAGTAGATTTATACTAAAACAATTAAGATCATTCACTCTCGATTTCTATGCATGATAATTAACTTGGGCTGCACCCTTGTCAACTATCATGATACAAACCTTGCGCTTATAATCTAATTGTTTATTAGTATAAATCTACTAGTGATCTTGTTCTCTGATTGGCTACACTACTCACTATCTATTATAGTGAGTAGCGTAGCAGTGTGTACCATTGTTAGGAAAATGACGGTTGCTTCTTGGTGTTTTTGAAGTGTCTGTGAAGAGGATTTAGATAAAGTTTTGAATGACTAGTAGATCTATACTAAAACAATGAGATTATTCGCTCTTGATTTCCAGGTGTGATAGTTGACTTGGGCTGCACCCTCATCAACTATCACGTGACAGAAATCTTGAGCTCTTAATCTAATTGCTTAATAGAAATCTCGAGCTCATAATCAAATTGTTTAATATATAGATTTAGCAAAGCCTAAAAGTGATGCCAACCCATGATAAGCGAGAATTTTGATCAGAGTTTTGTAACTTTGCAGTGAGGTTTGCCCTTCTGTTTTGAGTTTGAATACTCTAAGAAACTACACAAAACAAAAGCAGTGAAAAACATTTGTAAACAACTGGGTTAGAGTTAACCCACTGGCCCCGTTTACAAGTTAATCTGATCATGACATGAGCCCATGAACCAATTGAAAATCAGCTCTTGATCAGCGGTCAACTTCGGAAAACCATGTGACATAGATGAGCTATGAGCCTACGATATGGTCGTGTGATATTGGTCAGCGGATACCTTGTTTTGACAGGTGTCAATTGACCATAACATGGATGTCCAATATCAATGAAGGAGTCGTTATAAACCAAGGCTGAATGTCTCTTTCAACCTATTAGCTGGAGCATGGCCACCATCTTGGGCAACTCCTCTGTCACTGTCGTCGTGGCTGTTGTGTGAATGCACCCAGGAGCAATACCGCTAGCCATGATAAACATAAGAAAATCAATTAATGGGTTTGCTTGTCTTTCGTATATGAGTATAGGGCTCCGCTTGGCATCCCCTCAGGCTGCCAGAGCTCCGCCATAAAGATTATAAATCTCACTCATTGGAATGCGAATTGATGTTATTCGTTACAAACCACATACCTTATCTTTGAGGCCTTTCAAATTCTTTTTCCAACAGCTTCATTTGATTTCAATTTATAGCTGCGAAGTTGTTTCATCCAGTGATACGAGAAAGAACGAAGCATAAAGCTTCGACCCCGTCGCATCCATAATGACTGTTGTTTTGAAACTTTGAATTTACTTCCTGTAAGTAGTTGCAAAAGGTTGACATTTTGTGATGTCTTACATGAAACAAAACAGAAAATGCAAACAAACTCTTGAGAGAGTGCAGTATGGACTGGAAATCATCTTTAAATGGTCTTTCAGCCATTTACAATAGCATGTTGAAAGTTGGCGTGTCGAAATTAAAGATGGTCAAAAGATGTTGCCTAATAATTTGCATGTAAAGGCGGCGAAATATGAGATACAAAAACCTTCAACTTGTTGCACAACATTGTTTCGTTGCAAGTTTTGGGTCGATGTTTTGCATTTTTCACCTTGCGTGATCAACGCGAAAAGCAGATCGCGGGTCTAATTTGAGCAACAAATTTTTGACTTTGTAGCTCTTTTTTCATCAAACTCACTTGTCATGCAACAAATTTGCTCATGCTCAAGCAAATCAACCAATCAGTGCACTGCATTTCTTCAACACGCAACAAATGTTTTTGTTGCGTGACAAGTTGATTGGGCAAGGTGAAATACGCGAAACATCGACCCAAAAGTTGCAACAAAACAATGTTGTGTGACAAGTTTAGGGTTTTTGTATCTCATATCTCACCTCCGTAACACTGAAAGCAGGTGTAACATGAAAAAGAAAGAAGGGAGAAGGACAAGGGAACAGGGGGATAGACTGTGATAGATTGGTATCCTGTCCAAGGGGAATGAAAAATACTCCTGGTCACTNTTTTCCAACAGCTTCATTTGATTTCAATTTATAGCTGCGAAGTTGTTTCATCCAGTGATACGAGAAAGAATGAAGCATAAAGCTTCGACCCCGTCGCATCCATAATGAGTGTTGTTTTGAAACTTTGAATTTACCTCCTGTAAGTAGTTGCAAAAGGTTTACATTTTGTGTTGTCTTACATGAAACAAAACAGAAAATGCAAACAAACTCTTGAGAGAGCGCAGTATGGACTGGAAATCATCTTTAAATGGTCTTTCAGCCATTTACAATAGCATGTTGAAAGATGGCGTGTCGAAATTAAAGATGATCAAAAGATGTTGCCTAATTTGCATGTAAAGGCGGTGAAATACGAGATACAAAAACCTTCAACTTGTTGCACAACATTGTTTCGTTGCAAGTTTTGGGTTGATGTTTCGCGTTTTTCACCTTGCGTGATCAACGTGAAAAGTAGATCACGGGTCTAATTTGAGCAACAAATTTTTGACTTTGTAGCTCTTTTTTCATCAAACTCACTTGTCATGCAACAAATTTGCTCATGCTCAAGCAAATCAACCAATCAGCGCACTGCATTTCTTCAACACGCAACAAATGTTTTTGTTGTGTGACAAGTTGATTGGGCAAGGTGAAATACGTGAAACATCGACCCAAAAGTTGCAACAAAACAATGTTGTGTGATAAGTTTAGGGTTTTTGTATCTCATATCTCACCTCCATAACACTGAAAGCAGGTGTAACATGAAAAAGAAAGAAGGGAGAAGGACAAGGGAACAGGGGGATAGACTGTGATAGATTGGTATCCTGTCCAAGGGGAATGAAAAATACTCCTGGTCACTTCATGTTATAGAAAGCAGGATAAAGCACTGGGAAAAAATATGAGCCCTCTAACTGCCCAGAAACTCTGGAATGAGTTTTGTCATTAATGTGTGGGGTTATAGCACAAATGGTAGGGATCAAGGACTAGGTTTCCCAAGGGTTTCCTCTTTCCTGAAAATGCATTTCCCCAGTATTTTGTAACATTTTTATTTTGCTAGTTTTTCAATATTGGTTTTCAGTGAAAGTGGTCTGCAATAGCAACAAACAAGTGAAGGGAGAAAACCCTTAAAAATAAACATGATAGTTTTGTTTTATGAAAGTCTGTTTGAATAATATTAGACCTTTTTCCATTTTTTAAATTGAAGTAAGCCAAGTGAAAACCGAGCTACCAACACAAAAGAACTGTCCAAATATGCTGTCACCTATGAATGATAATGGTACATGTGTCTTCAGTGACCACTGCAGCAAAGTCGTATGCACATCGCCGCCAGACGTTGATACTGGGCCAATTAGCCATATGGCTGTACAAGCCTTGGTATGCAATCAATCAGTGAAAGCCAATGTTAGCTTGGAGTCATCTTCAGTGAAGTGGTCGCATACATTTAAAGATGGCGAGAAAGTTGCTCTGCCGGATGCCATGAAACCATCTGATGCCCCTGCCAGTATGAAACAATTCTTGATAGTTGAATTGGAGAAACATGGTCCATACAACACGGACGTCCACTTTAAGGTACTGCGTGCATTGCATGAAGATCTCTGAAAATGTTATCTGTAAGACAGCTTAAAGTCTGATAACTCAATTAACTCAAGGTATTTAACAGGCAATCTCGATAACTTCAGATCAATTAACTTGCAGGGTATTTTGTTCAGTTGCATAATTACCAACATTTCATCCCTGGCTATTTTTTCTGCGGGCCAAATCTGACAGGTTTGGTTTGCATAGCTGCCATTTGACTTTCACCCCCCTGCCCAACCCTGTTTAAGCAACTGTTTAGCCAGTGACCATCATGCTCTAACCCAGGGGGGGACTCCCATATAAAAAGGACGGTGATGCTTGTCTGAAATTTTGAAGAGAGCCCCTAAGAGGTACTAAGATCCTGTTTTGTGGCCATGACTTGAAATTTTATTTACCCCTAAGAGGTACCAACTCTAAAGCAACACATTAACTGGCATTGACTTTTTTGGCTAAAATAATATGGTAGAATTCTGAAAGTAATGCCCCCTCCGAAAATAATGGCCCACCGAAAGTAACTTTAATTTTTTCCCTTCCTATTGAACCCTGAAAGTGATGGTCCCCCCGAAAGCAGCGGCCCACCTGAAAGTACTGCCCTTTGAAGAAGTCACTAAAACAGAAAGTCTTTCAGATCTTCTCAGCCGCGGGTCATGCGGATGGGACAGGCTTACTGCAGGACTGAACATTGACTTTAACAGCTATCTGTGATTTTATTTTGAACTTGACTAACTTTTACTTCAAACTATGATTTATAAACTGTATTTGTCTAGCAGTAGAGTCAAATGATATACTGTAGGGCCTTTTTTTTGGATAGTTAAAAACATACATAAACAGAACGTTTAATTTCTTTTGTTACGTGTCCCCTTTGTCTGAAACAACTGTTACTGTACAAACTTTTTGTAACCATCCGAAAGTAATGGCTACCCAAAAGTAGTGGCTCCTTTCGCCTGCTAAATCTGAAAGTAACGGGGGCCGTTGCTTTCGGAATTCTACAGTACCCTAGAAGGTACCATAAAAGCTCCTGTTGCGGACATTTTGATCATTAGGCTGAACAACCCAAGAGGTACCAAAATGGCTTTTTTAACCCCTAAAAGGTATGATGAAAACCCCCATCCTTTTTACATAGGAGCCCACCCCCCACCTCATGGGGCTATAAGTATCAGCTAAGTAAGCTTGGCTTTGTTGCTTAGTTCATATAGACCATTTTTGTGTGCATCATTAGTTTACTTATTGTTTGCTATTTGTTCTTCTATAGTTAGTGCTAATGTTTGATTTTGGATATATGAATTACAACACCACTTTCCTTGAAGGAAATTTAGAGGCTGCTGAATGTGGTAAGGTTCTTACATCATTGCTTTACCTGAACAAAACAGTGTATTATTAAGTGTACATGCATGTAACTGTTAGCTTACAATCATTTCTACTTTTGTGCCAAAACCTATATCTTTACAAACATCTAGTATACATTGTACAAGGAGCAGACTCTGGAGGCAGAGCACATGCAATAAAAGCAATGAATGCAGTAAATTGTTAGCCTGGTACCTGAGCTGCAATCTTAGTTCATGATTCATGCAATAATTAGTACTTTAGTCCTTTCCTGTATTGTAATGAACATTATGATGCCAATTTGAGGCAAGGGTGTGAAAGAAAAAAACAAAACAAAAAAAAACAGATAATGCATGATTTCAAATGTCCACCCCAACCTTGCTCTAGAACCTAGGGAATGTCAAGTGGAACATTTTCATTTATTATTGATTGACATAATGCAACCATTTTCTTTTCAAAACGGTAGAATGCCATGTGACTGTGTTTCCAACACCAATGATATCTGGTGGGGATGAAGAGGACTGTCCAGATATTCAATTGCCAGATGGCAGCGATGGCACATGCTACCTCGATAACCATTGCAGCAAAGTCACATGTTTGTCGCCGCCAGACAGTACTGGGCCATTTAGCCACATGGTCTTGACTGTACAAGCTTATGGATGCCATCATCAACCAGTGAAAGCCAAAGTTAGTTTGGAGTCATCCTCAGTGAAGTGGTCGCATACATTTAAAGATGGTGAGAAAGCTACAATGCCTGACAATATGAAACCACCTGATGTTCCTGCTGATATGAAAATATTCCTTGAGATGGAATTGAAGAAAAATGGTGGCAAAGTTCACTTCAAGGTACAAAAAATAATATATTTTAAGGCAGCTTAAGGCAGTTTGTTTAACTGTTAAGGTCCAGTCTTGCAGTGAGCATTTTTTTTTTTTAA